CACCGCAGGCCCTGGGTGACTCCTCGGAGTAGAGCGCCGTCGAGTTGCTGTGCCTGGAATTTCACGAGGGTGACATCAAACTCGGCCAATGAAGGCGCGAGTCCTAAGCCAGCGAGGGGGAGGACAGGACAGCGGCAGAGTCAATCGGGGTCGAGCGCGAGGCAGAGCCGCAGGAGTCGCGGCTTTACAATCCCAGAGACTCGGGGGTGGACAGACCTCCTACCCTGACACGTCGATTAGCGAATTGGCCGTTTGCGGTTCGCGAGAGGGCGTCGCGGCCGTCAGTTTTTGCGGTCCAGGTCCGTCGGTTTCGGCCCCAGGCTGCTTTCACTGAAGGGTGGTTTACTAAAGGGAGGTTTGTCCACCCCCGAGAGACGACAAATACAACAGCGGCGGCGAAGTCGCGGACGACGCGATGCTGGTGGAACATTAGGCCGTGGGAAGGGAAGGGCTTCTGAAAGTGCCTCCTGTCCGGCAGCTCTGCTGGCGCATTCCCGCGATGTTGGTGCGGGGGACCGGATGCGCCCGCGGACTTCCACGCGAGTGTTGAAAGGAGTCGCTCCTGTGCAAATTCGGATTCACGACATGTGCCGCGACGTGCGTGACTCCGCACCAGGAGTGGATTCAAAACGACCCCCGGGCAGACACAAATAAACCGGACAAAAAACCAGCCGCGAGGAAGGGGCCGAGATGTCCGAAGGCCCGTGCCTGGAAAACGAGGGCCGCAGGATGTGTGGGAGTCGCATCGCTGTGGGAGCGGATCCACTGCGCGACGGGGAGCGCGAGCAGGTTCGTGTTGGGAAAGATTCGGGCGGCCCCGCTGCCGAAAAAGGAGGCGAGTGTTTCTGTGTCCCCGCACTTGCTTGTTTTATGTCTGCCGCCCCTACGCAGGGGCGTCCAAACTGATTTGGGAGGGCGCTAAAGTGCATCCAAGAAGATCCCAAACATGGCTCGCAGGTCCCCAGGACGACCTCCAATGATGGCCCAAGAGGCCCCATGAGGAATCCCAGTGTCCCCGAGTGATTGCGCCCCATAGGCGCGAAGAGATGCGTTGAAAGCGTGAACTTGTGTTTGCCGAAATCGTCTGCGTGTTCAGTTCTTTGTGCTTTTGGCTCCGCGCGACCTCAGCAGTGCTTCATGGATTTCGACATGGCCCCAGAGGGCCCAGCCAATGCCCAGGGCAAGACGGCGCCCTGACGGCGCCAAGAACGGCCCCAGAGGGTTCGAGGTGCCCCCCAGGCGCTTCCAGCGGGCCCCAGGGCACCCAAAAGGTCCGCCGCTCCATCAACAAAGGCTTCCAGGACGGCCCAAGAATCCCACAAAACAGCCCCGACGGAAATCCCCAGCACGGGGCAGAAGGCCCCAACGTTACCCATTGGGTTCCGAAAGGCTGGACAAAACAAAGAGATGCCCGGGGAGACCCCGAAGCGCGATGAAGGCACGGCCAGCAGAAAAACAACGGCAGATCGTAGCAGGCGGGACGCACGCAGCAGCAAGCAGCGCCGGACTGCAGCAGGCAGTCGCAAACGGAAGCAACCAGCAACCACAACAGCAGCAGCAGCAACAGCAGCGGTTCAAGCAGCAACGCTTCCCGCTGTGGCCAGACTGGGCTATGCGAGGGGTCGTTGCCTGGGAGGGTGGACGCATTGTTTTTTTTCACGCGCCAGAGGCTCGACTCGGCGAGTTTCGTTTTGAACCCCGCGGGGTCGCGCGCTTCCTGCAATCTAGAGTCGGGGTAGTTCGGAAATCCAGCTCTTCGGGGTTCCAGTTTCCTAGATGAGCTCAGCTGAAGTCATGGTTGCGGACATCCTGTGTTGCTAAGAGAACGATATTGTTGCTAGCTGCCAAGCGGCGTTGGCGACGGCCGAGTTGCTACGCTGTTTAAGCTTCAAGTCTTCAGAGGGTAGCTTCCCGCAACAGGGGACGGTGGATAACCACGGTAGTCAATATTGGCGGTGTGTATTCATATTCTTAGTTGTTTCTCAGGCTGTCATTGCCAAAATGCTTTTCGCTGGTGCCAGTTTTCGTAGCCGGCAAGCTGGTGATATGAGCCGTTCGGGGAAAGGGCCCGCGGATTCACATTGCGATCGCCCGGCCATCGAGATGCCAGCACGGTAGGGGGCCAAACTTCAGCGGTTTGGCGTCAGTTCGCGATATTGTGCGTTTCTCTAGCGCGAGTGGCCCATATTGTAGGTGCATCGGAGTCTGGTCAATGTGAGTCGATCCAGCGACCTGCAAGACAGAATATTGTCCCCAGGCTCGTGTCAAGTGTTATCAGCTTGCACGTGCGGCATGCGAGCCATCATACATGTTTGGTCAATTTCCATCCTGGCATCTGCTCGAGGGTGAGTTCGTTGGCCTCGCCACTTGCTGTGCATATGTTCAGCGCTCCAGGACTCGCCAGTAGATTGCGTGGAGGCCCCTTGAGCGCCCCCCCGAGCGCCCCACCGGCAGATGAGGCCCTGCGACGGATCACGAATGCACAAGATGTTGTCGTGCTGATCCCTTGCGTGGGGTGGGCGGGGAGCGGGAGGGACAACAGACCCGGGGCTTGTCTTGGGGTGCGTTCTGGGGTTCGTTCTGACCAGGAGTCCGAGGTGGTTCCAGCCGTGGCGACTTGGGCGCCCCCCAGAGGCGCCATCCTGAATCCCTCTTCTCGATCCTCGATCTTGGAGGTCTCTGGAGGCTCCCGGGCGCCCCCAGAGGTCTGCGGGAGGCCTCTTCAGGTCTTTGTGGCCTTGTGAGGCCCAAGGAGAAGCAAAACAACATGCCAAAATGGTTTGGTAACCTCGATCTCTGAAGTATTGAAGTAGTCAAGGATGTAGCCCTTCTCCCTCCTCCCCATCCTCGCGCCGTGCGTCTCCAACGGCTCCTCCCTCCTCGCCTCCCTCGCCTCCTCGCTCCTCCAAAACGTCTTTCTCCCCTCCCTCCTCGCCTCTCCAACTCAGAGGAGCAAGAGGTCAAGATAATGATACGCTCCAAGGACTCCAGGATCTCCACGACCTGTTCAACCAGGGCTCCAGAAACGAGGGCCGCTAGATACTCCAGAATTCTTGGGACGTGTCTTGAGCCAGTCGCATCTTGACATCGTTCTCGTCCTACCAACTTCCCCTCGCTCCCCCAAGCCTTCCGTCCCTCCATCCTCGCCTCCCGAGTGGGGTAGGGAGGGCCTTCGCTCCTGTCAGGGGCCGCGAGTCTGAGGCACCGCGGGCGGGGGCCTGGAGCCGTCGGCGGCGAGGGAGGGGGAGAAGTGGGAATGGGCGGGACTTCTCAGAAGGCTCGGAAGTCCCCTGGCCTTCCGGAGAAGTTTTCTAAGCCTTCCCCGAAGACACGGAGAGCTTGTCTGAAGGCCAGAGGGTTTCTGAGAAGTCAGCGCGCCTTCTGAGACAGCTTTCTCGTTCTCACTTCCCCCCTCGCTCGTCGCCGACCCACCTCCCTTTCATCGGAAGGAGATCATGGAAGCTGTGTGTGCCCTCGCAGTTCCGTCGTCAGAGTGCATTGGCATCGATGAAGCGTCTGGCAGTCGATGGGGTAGCGCGTCGGCTAGCGCCGGTTCGCCAGAGCCAACAAGCCGGCATGAGAGGCTCCCACGAGCTGCCGCAGGACCTCCCCACGGAGTTGCCCCGTGTGAGTGCTGGCCTCCTCTCTTCCCTGAGATCGTCCCACCGTTCGCCCAAACGGTCGATCAACTCCTGCGACTGCCATTCGGGGCTCAAGCTCCTCTAGGACACCCCAATCGGCGGTTCGGGTTTGATGAAACGCAGTGGGAAGGGATGTCAGATGTGGCGCGAGCGCACCGAACTTGTCCGCCCTTTTCTTTCTCCTCCTCTCCCCTCATTGAGCAAGTCTGGGTACTGCCAGTACGTATGATCACGCGCGTGGTCAGTCTGGCGGAGGACGAGGAGGGGGGGTGGAGGACCGTGAGGAGGGCGAAGACGGAAGAGGAGGAGGAGGAGGAGGAAGAGGACAAGGAGGATGAGGGCGACGATGGAGGAGGAGAGGATGAGGAGGACGGCGAGGAGGGCGAGAGAAATGAGGACGATGATCATGACGGCGACGACGAACAGGAGGTCCGCAGAGGTCTCGGGAGGCGTCCAGATGCCTCCATCCGACAAGCTCAATCCTCGATCCTCCTCCTCGAGCCCTTAGCAGGCTCCGTGGATTGGGGAAGCGCACGCATGGATTACGGCGCGGATTAGCGACGGGTCCCGCGTCCGTGCAGAATCGGCGCGAATCGTCGTAAGATCAGGGGGGCATCCGCGGCGTATTTCGGGAGGTACTTTCGCCGATCCGTGGGCTTGGCGCCGTGACGCCAGATCCACTTCGTCGTGATCCGTGTCGGCGTGCGCCCGAGTGGAGTCCTCGCCAGTCTTCCTCGCAGGCGGTATCCCCCAGCCTCGACGGGCCCATTTTCCAACACCACTACCATAGGTAGGAGAGGGAGGAGGAGGAGGAGGAGGAGGAGGAGGAGGAGGACCTTCTCATCCTCGCTTCTCCTCCGTCCTACATATGGTAGTGGTGGTGGAAAGCCTGGAAGCCCATGTTGTGGCAAAGAGGGTCGGGGCTTGTTTTTGTTTCGGGGGTTGACAGACCTCCTACACTGACACGTCGATTAAGAGCTGGCCGTGTTCGGTTCGCGAGAGGGCGTCGCGGCCGTCGTTTTTGCGGGTCCAGGTCCGTCGGTTTCGGTCCCAGGCCGTTTTCACTAAGGGGAGGTTTACTAAAGGGAGGTTTGTGCATCGCCGATTGTTCCTCGGTCACATCTTGCGCCCACGACCAGTCACACCGATGTCGACATAATCCCGTGTTCGTGCTTTCTCTCCCCAGCCTCCGGTAGGAGAGAGAGAGAGAGGATTTGGGGAAAGGAGACTGAGGGAATGGACTAGAAGCAAGAAGGAAGACCCCCCCGCCCGACGACGACGACGACGACGACGACGACCTTGACGACGACGACTGCGACGGGAAAACCAAGCCGCTTCCAGCGCGCATCCAGCAGCCTCATGACCGGCCTCGAGACGACGCGCACCGACGCTGGTCAGCAGGCGCTCAAGGCCCCGGGCACGCTGCGCGGGAGAGGGGGTGGGATGGGAGGACGTGACGACGAGGCGAGGAAAGACGCGGCGGAGGAGGAGGATGATGGTGATGATGATGATGATGATGATGATGATGATGATGATGATGATGATGATGCTGATGCTGATGCTGATGCTGATGCTGATGCTGATGCTGATGCTGATGCTGCTGATGATGATGATGATGATGATGAGGAGGAGGAGGAGGAGGAGGAGGAGGAGGAGGAGGAGGGAGGAGCAGGGAGCAGGTAGGAGGAGGAGGAGGAGGGGAGGAGGAGGAGGAGGAGGAGAGGAGGAGGAGGAGGAGGGAGGAGGAGTAGGAGGGAAGAGGAGGAGGAGGAGGAGGAGAAGGAGGAGGAGGAGGAGGAGGAGGAGGAGGAGGAGGAGAGAGGAGAGGAGGAGGAGGAGGAGGAGGAGGGGAGGAGGGAGGGAGGAGGAGGAGGGAGAGGAGAAGGAGGAGGAGGTGAGAAGGAGGGAGGCGGAGGGGGAAGAAGGAGCAGGAGGAGGAGGAGAAGGAGGAGGAGGAGGAGGGGAAACGAAGGAGGGGGAGGAGGAGGAGTAGGAGGGACGAGGAGGATGAGGAGAAGGAGGAGAGGGAGGAGGAGGAGGTGCGAGGAGGAGGAGGCGGAGGGGGGAGGAGGAGGAGGAGGAGGAGGAGGAGGAGGAGGAGGAGGAGGAGCAGGAGCAGGAGGAGGAGGAGGAGGAGGAGGAGGAGGAGGAGGAGGAGGAGGAGGAGGAGGAGGGAGGAGGGAGGAGGAGGAGGAGGAGGAGGAGGAGGAGGAGGAAGACTTCAGGATTTTCGCCATCCCGTAGGGATAAAAAAAAGGCTGAGTTCGGCTGCCTGCTTTGGGATGTAAATCCCTGTATTCTCGCCGGGTCTTGGAGACTGTAAGACTGCACGGCTTGCCTAATCCCCTGAGCTGGGACTGACCGAAATAACCGCATGTGCCGCAGTACCAAGTCTTCCAGATGTGGTGGTAAATTTGGGCGTGTGAGGGGTCGACCCAGCCTCCTGCATGGTGCAACCTACGTCCTGGGGGTAGACGGGACAACCTACCACCCACGGAGCGGAGCTGGAAGCGTTCACTCTTTAGCCAGTCGGACCTACACGCCTTAGTAGCAGAGCCTTTTACACACGCTGCACGATCCTCCACTTTCGGTCAGGACGTGCGCGGACGCGAAGCGTGCAACAGCAATGGGAGGCGGAGGAGGGATGCGCTGCACAGAGCGTGCCTCCTCGGGGTCGCGGCTGGCCTGAGCAGCGACGATGGCGCCGAGGCCTGCTCGCAACAACCGCTTCCTGACCAGCCGAGCCTTGTACTCAACATGGGCGATCCTGGCACGATCGGCCAAGGGCACTCTAGCTCGACGGGCAGCCGCCTTCGCAAGCTCATCTACCACGCAGTTTCCTCCAATGAGCCAGCTCGGCCACTGGCGCTCAGCGACCTCTTTGCCATCGGGATGTGCTGGCACTTGGATTTCTGCGACGTCTGAAGGGTCCCGTTGCTGCTTAGAAAGCGTCTTGGCAATTGACCTCCACAGATCTGCTTGAGGCCATGAGGGGCATCGGAGCTGGTCTCCATACCACCTTCGGGCCACTTCAGCACAATCAGTAACGTACAAGAGATCGCCTGCTGAGAATTGCACAGCCCAGGCGAAAGCTTGAAGCTCCCCACGGGGCACCGTTTGGCTGGCCCCCACCAAGGGCCCGAGAAGCAATGGCGAGTCCTACCCTATGTGTCCTGGGATCGTGGGTGTCGGCGCCTCCTGAAGCATCTCCGAAGACAATCAGGGGCCCGCCAGGGACTCCTTCACCCAAGCAGGGCGGACCGACGAGGCCACCGTTTAAAAAAGGCCACCGCCGCCCCACGACTCGGAGGTCGGAGGAGGGGAGGCAGAAGCCCAAGGAGCAGGGATGAGGCCCTCATCCAAAAGCACGGGTAGGCCTCAGAGTTTGCGACAGCCTCAGGGAGTAGTGACGCAGACTGAGCATATGCGGGTGAGCTGTCGTTTTTTTGGCACACGTCCAACACCGATGCGCTGCCGTCTCGCGGCCATCCTTGCACCGTTCACTTACATCACTCGCACATAAGTTAGCATCGAAACCCCGAGCTCTCGTCCAAAAGCCTCCAGTGGCGATAGAAACCATCGACTCTGATAACTGGCGGCCTCGCTTGGCCTGGGTGAGATCGTTCACGAACTTCCTGTAAGACTGCATGTCGGCTCCATCGGCGAGCCCCTCACCGCAATACAGCTCTACGGCCTGACGCCACTGCTTGAGCTCCATGGTGTGCTGCAGCTCGTGCAGTAATGGGCAGCCTGGTCAAGGCTCGTAAACTCGGCGTCACCGAATCTCCAAGAGAAGCCAGCTTGAGCACCTTCATTCGGCACATCCCACTCCACTGGCGAGACTGGAGACCACCCTGCCTCCAGCAGGTACAATATGACTGTGGATAGCGGCCCGCGAACATGCCGACTCCGCTGCTCGGACCTGGCGCTCATCAGGTGCTTGGCCGTCGCTGGTCACGCGAGGCTGATGGACGGCCTGAGCTGCGGCTCCTCCAACCACACGGAAAGCCAGAGGGCCACGCATTGCCGAGGAAGCACAGCCCCTGGATCCGCGCCTGGCAGGCGTCGTGCCAGGAGCGTGGACAGGCAGCGCCCCCTCTTCGAGGAACCCGCGACCGCCCCCAAGCGCCGCCGCAGTAGCTGCATGTTGGCCCCGCAAGCGCGGTAGACCTGGTGGCCGTGCACCGCCGACGTTTGGGGTCCCGCCCGCTGCAGCTTGGCCGTGGCGTGCCACCGCCTCGCCGCATGGGCAAAGCGGCGGGGCCTGCCGTGAGACTCAGCGGACTTGGTGGCGCGCTTGCGCGCCGTGGCCCTGCCTTGACGACGCCCCGCGCTCAGGTCCACGCCCAAGTACGTTGGCTGGAGCACCGCCGACAGCGGCGCGCCTCGCCTCCGAAGAACTTTAACAACTGCTACTGCATCACAGTGGCGCGCGCAGGTGACCGTGCTCTTGGGCGATATCCCTAGGCCGAGCTTCTTGGCGGCTCGAACCGTGGACATGATCCCTTTGAGCAGCGTGGCGCGGACGTGTTGCCGCGATCCTGCCACCCGCTGCGAAAGGTCGTCGATCCAGATACGCTCCGACATCGACGGATGCATGGCGCACAACTTCTTGCACGCGAAAGCCGTGAGGCACTTGGCGAACCTCGCGCCATTCCTCGGCCCCTGCACGATGGAGCACGTGACCTGGAATGGCTCGGTCACAGAGTCGAGCTGCTGCAGCAACCTCGGGACGAGGCACAGCTGCATCTCCAGACAGAGGACGACTGGAGGAAACCCTTTGCGCGCTGCGCAGCGGGCCAGCGGCCCCCACTCGATGTCGTCTTGAAGGCCTCCACGTCGAGCAGGCCGTGGCCGTGCGCGATGCTGAGCCTTGTCTGAGACTCGTCCTGCAGCGCTCTAACGAACGCCTCTTTCAAGGCGCTGTTGCCAGCCACAGCCGCGTCCCAGCCATCGTCCTGCAACGACGACCACTCCTTCATCTGCGCCTCGCGCGCCATGGACCAGGCACGGCACAACATCGGCAAGAGACCGATGACGCGATCTTCGCCCGACCGTTTGGCTAGGAGCCTCCCGATCATGCACATGACCTGCCATGGCCAGGACAGGCCCTCCTCGATCATGGTGAAGAGGCCGCACATGTCCTGAAGCCCCACTGGAGGCAAACGCTCGAAGTCGGTGGGCGACAAGCGGTCCGCGCCTAGGCCCGCGCGAGCATTCATGCCCCGCAGCGCGTCCTGCAGCTCGCGCGCAGTGAGCGGCTCCAGGGGCTCGGCCTCCGCGAGCGCCCTGACGCCCGCGATGGTGCTCATGATGTCGTCGTGCGTGGCTGACCCTCTCCACTTGGCCTGCTACTTCTCCACTTTCTTGTCTACAATGTCGATCGGATGGACCAGGGCTCCGAACTCGTCTGGCTCAGGCTCGTCGTCCTTGATGCTGCGATGAACCTGGCCCTGCGCCGATGTGGAACTGATCCAATCCTGAAGCTCTCTCTGGGAAGCTGCTGCGGCGCGGCTCTGGGCCCGCCGAGCGGCACGAAACCAATTCTCTTCCCACTCGGACAGCTGCTCTACCGAGAGGTCACACAACCTCCCCATGTCCGTCAAGAGCGCCGACCAGCAGCCCTGCGAAGGCGGCAGCGCAGATCCTGCCCCGTCTAGAGGCTGGTCAGCCAAGCGCCTGGCCGCCTCCGCCAGCACCAGCACCTGCTGCTCGCCGTTGCGCCGGCGACGGTGGCGTAGCATGCGTTGCACCACCGTGTGGAGGCGACCCCGCCAGCCAGCCACTCCGTCCTTCAGCGGCTGACTCCTCACACGCTCAGCCTGGCGCACTGGCATGACCTTGAGGTCGAAGCCGCCCCGCCGAGATCGCCGAGGAGCGCCGATGTCGCGGTGGGCTCCGATGGTCCGCTCCACCGCGTCAATAACCCATCGCGCGAACTTGTTACTAATGGGAAGGGCGTGCTTCTCACCCGCCTGATAAGCGAGAGAAGCGCGAATAGGGGACCAAACGTCCGAAGAAGAGTGTGAGTGCCACGGAACTTGAGCCGAGCAGGCTACGTGCGTGGAGCTAGGAATATAGAAAGCGGGGAGGGGGGCAGAAGAGGCAGCAGCACCAGCGGGGGCGAGGCTATCCTGCCCCTCGGCCGCGCCGAGGCCCACCCCCCCAGGACCAGACGCAGGGGCTGGGTCTCCTCCCAAACTTTCGCCAACTCTCTCTCCCGCTTCAGACGCGGGATCAGCAGCACTACCACTATTAGAAGCTACATCGTCACTCTGACACTGATTACCTACATGCGTGAAGCAAGTCTCGTCGGCCCAGGGATCTTCTTCCCCGAAGCCGAAATTTAAATCACACCCCTCCAGGTCGGGATCCAGAGCGGGGTCCTCGGCCAGCGCGCCAGGAGTATTTTCGGCCGCAGGGCCTGAAGCCGAGGAGACCGAACCGTCAGGCCCAGGAGGCCGCAAGACGGGGAAAACATCCGAAACAAGATGCTCGCAATCCGCTTTTATGCGGTCGCGAGCCTCCTGAGTCTCCTGCTGCTGGACAAGCTTGGCTTTGCTACTCGTGGAGCCAGCCGTGGGGGAAGCTAAAGGACGGGGCACTTGAGGGAGCCGAGGGGCTACTTCTAAAGACCTCATCATGAACTGCTGCCCCGCCCCGCGCAGGCGAATGTCTAAGCCGCAGCGTGGGCCCCGGGGCACATCAGAAACTGCAGACACTGTGTATGTACGGAAGACAATTCTCAGAGGCCACGGCAACATCGATATGTGAAGTACCTGCACTCCCTACGCAAGTGAATTATATATCAGCCCTTTTCGTGAATCCTTGGATTCGCCGCAAGAAAGCCGACCGCTGAAACACAGAAGTGTCAATGTTGAAATCTCCAACAATGAACCACGGCAATTGCACGCTTTGCATGAACGCTCCGAGCTTCGCGAAGCGCTGCAGGTTCTCTCCTGCGAACCCGACAGACGGATGGGCACAGAAGATTATGGCGATCATCGAAAAACCTGCCATGTGCAGGACGACTGGCAGGACACCGCCCAGGGCGTCTGAGCCCTCAGCACAAAAACTGGGCACGGCAGAGGCTTTGGGCAGCACCCTGTGCGCGTGCCGATGCCCCTGACACATGAAGAGCTCCCCACCCTCGTTGGCCTTCCCTACAGTGGCCTTTGAGGTCGCTCTTCCCGTGGCACGGGCTGGGTTGTCGACGAACCTCCACTTCAACCGTCTGGCACTCCTCGCCCACTTCGACCGGGCGTGGCAGCCAGCATATGTCTCCGTGAAAGAAATGCACTGGTAGCGCTTGAGGAAATCTGGCGAACTGATATGGTTCCAGGATGTCGGGCCCAAGCAAGTCACATTCGCAAAGAAAAGATTTGCAGAACTCGCTACTGGCACCAGCGTCAGCGGCCTCAGGCGGCGCAGGCGGCTCGGTGGCCGAGGAAGCCGCTGGGTCCTCGGCCGCCGCGGGGCCTCACGCCGAGGCTGCCCCTCCCGCCTGCGGCGTGGCCCTGGCCGCAGCCTCGGCCCCCGCCTCCGCTGCCGCTCGCAGCCTCTCCATTTCGGCCTGGACGTCCTCCTCTGAGACGCCAGCTGCCGCGCCGCCGCCAGCAGCCCCATGCGTCTGCGCCGCGGCGGGGGCCGGGGCAGCGCCCGTGCCTGCTGCCGCTGTGGCGGCAGGGGGCGGCCCTCCTCCTGCCGCGGGCGCCTGAGCGGCCGCGCCCTGCGCAGGGGGGCCTGCGCCGTCGGCGCGCCTCTTCTTGGCCATGCACTCCTTCGCGCGCTCCTGCAGGGCCGCCGCCTTGGTGCGCCACTCCGCGACCTGCTCGGCCTTGGGCTGGGCACTCTTCTGGGCGTCCTTCAGCTCCTGCTCAAGCTTCTCCAACTCCACTTTCTCCTCCCCTCCGCAATCGAGCTCGTCGACGCTGTCGAAGAAGCTGGTGTCCCACGACAGGTCGATGAGCGGCACCTCTGGCGTCGGTGCAGGCGCGGAGGTGACCCCCGCTGCCTTGGCCAACGCCATCACCGCGTTGCGCTTGTTGATCTCCGCGAGCGCCAGCGTGCGAGCCGTCTCCCCCTCGCGCTCACGCGCGCGTTGGAGGTTGAGGCTGAAACGCTCGACCTGCGCCCTCGCCTGCTCCCACTTGGCTGAGGCGTCACGCCAAGCCCCCGCCGCCAAGCGCACCGCCTCCTCGGCGGGGACGCTCTTCGGCGAGGCCGCCGCGATGGCTCCTGCACGACCTTGAGCGCTGCCTCGAGCTTGGCGGTGGCGTCGCTGGCTGGGCCTACGGCTCCACGGAGAGCCGCCGCACCGCCCCCCTGCCCGCCGCTTTGGTTCTGCCCCTGCGGCGGCTTGAACAAGGTGACCTTGGTGCTGCACTTGCTACACTTCGCGCCCAGGGGGAGGAGGAGGAGGACGAGGAGGAGGAGGAGGAGGAGGAGGAGGAGGAGGAGGAGGAGGAGGAGGAGGAGGAGTGAGGAGGAAGGGAGGAGGAAGGAGGATGAGACAGGGAGTGAGGGCAAGCTGGGTGCACTTCCGCCGTATCAGACATCGCATCCCTCCAACCCAACAGTTCCCATTGCACTGATTTTGTCTCTGAACACCGACGGGTGACATAGCGGACCGGGAACCCCCAGCAGGAATTGTTTGTGCCATGCGTAGTTACCGAACGAAACAAGTGACGTACATTGAAGGAGGAGTTGGCGGATAAGCAGGAGGATGAGCAGGAGGAAGAGGAGGATGACGGAGCAGAGCAGGGGAAGGTTCGGGGGGATTCTGGGATGTTCCAGGAGTTGTCTACGGGTCGTAGTTGGCTTCCCCAGGGTCACCGAGGAGGTAGGAGGAGGGGGGAGGAAGAAGGATGGAGGATCCAATCCTCCATGTCCCCTTTCCTTTTCTGTTTCCTTTGTCCTCGGTCCCCCTCCTCTCTGTACTCTCCAACCCTGAACATCCGTCCTGTCGCCTGCATGCCTTTTTCCATAAAGTTCCCCCCCCTCGTCGCACGACCAGGCGTCGTTGGGGCGGTTTCGCCTACAGCCACGCGTGTGAAGCCTGGGCGTTCCGCTCAGCCCACGAGCTCGAAGCCATAAATCGCCAACAACTGAGCTGAGGCAGGGCGAACGGGTTTCATCGTGCGGGTCTCGCGGCGTTCGCTCCGGCGCCGCGCAGGTGCGTGCTGTTGCGTAATAGTTTCGGCAGCTGCACGGGAGAGAAGGGCGGGTAGTCCGCGCACGTCCGTCTTGGCTTTGCGCGCTGGAGCTACGCGGTACAAGGATGCATGGTGGGCTGTTTTCGGCATGCGGATGTCTCCTTGGCACTGTGCACATTCGGCCTCACAGCTTGCAGCACTCGCACAGGCGAAGGCCGGGTGGCTTTTGGACTATGGTTGTCCCTCTGGCGCCCACTCGCTTTCACAGTGTGCAGCATTTACACGGGTGGAGTCAGTTTTGATGATGCGTTTGATTACAGGACTGATTTCTTCACTGAGGATGAAAATTTCACCCTCGGAGGACCAAAACTGCAAAAGATTGCACAAATCCCTTGATCCTCAATCCACGGTCCTTGTCCTCCCCCGACGGGAGGGAGGGAGGAGGACTTGGTGGCGGAAGTCTCTGGGGGTCCCTGGAGCCCTGCGTATGGAAGCTTCTGCGGGCCTCAGGAGTCCCGAAAACATCCGAAACCCTTTGTCACTACTCCTGGATCCTCGTCCTCCCTACTGCACCAGCGAACTCCCAGAGGTAGTTATCGACCCCCTCCACAGGACTGGCTTTTCAACCCCGAGCGCTCTTCTGACAGCCCGGCGATGGCCCCCGAAGGCCCGCATTTCCGTCGAGATTCTTTCATGACGTGAAGGGGCCTCGGTCGATTATCGCGCTCCTTCCCTGAGACGGATGCGTTCTCAAGCGCTGGGCCTGCAGCTGAAGTTCGGGTGGAGCCCTCGCCCAGGAGGGCTCCACCCGAACGAGCACGGCTCCACCCGAACGGGGTTGCGGAGAGGAGCCGGCGCGAGCACGCGAGAACGGGGCCAAGTCTTGTCGAACAGGGTTGCCTGACAGACCGGCCACGCCAACCTCGCCGAGCTTATTTTTTTGAGCACCACCCAGGCATCCCACAGGGGGCGGCGCGCGCGCTCAGCAAATCGTATAGCAGCACGGTGCTCGGCGGGGGGCACCGTCTGGCCATGCCGGCTGGACGGCGATGTGCTGCAGTCAGCCCGCAGAGTAAGGATGGGCAGCCTGCCCAAGGGTATCGCTGCATCCTTGTCTCCTCGGTGCATCCTCTGCCACTTTCGTTGGCAGCGCCCCGCTCGAAGAAGCTTCGAGATGGTCGACCAGGGCCCTTGCATCCTCATCGCGCATCCTTGCTATACGGGCTGGCTGTACATCACGTGTATGCTACGTGTTTGGCTCCGACGTGCGCGTCCCAGGAGGGCAGGGCTGGGCCCAAACGCTGTTTTTGCTGGACTTCGGCTGTGTTTTTTTGTGCTGGCAGGGAGGTACAGGAAAACGGGTAGGGCAAAACGAAGCACAAAACGAAAACAAAACGAACAACTACGTTTAGGTCCAGCCCTGAAGGAGGGCGCGTCTTACCAGCCCAGACACCCGGCGCCTCGATTTTTACGAGGCGCGGGCGGCTCCGACCTCGCGGCCTTTTTCCCCAGGACTGCCTCCTCGCCCCGAGACGTTTTTGTTGGACAAGGACCCCGAGAGGCCGAACATTTCGAACAACCTCTCCCCCTCCTCCTCCTCTTCCTCCTCCTCCTCCTCCTTCTCCTCCTCCTCCTCCTCCTCCTCCTCCTCCTCGTCCTCGTCCTCGTCCTCCTCCGCGTGGTCCTCCCCCTCCTCCTCCTCCTCCTACACATTGCATCCCGTTTTTTTCGAGACGTCGGCTGTCTGAGAGAGAGTGTCGCCAAAGCGCCCGGCGAGGCGTTCCAGCGCGTCGCCCACGAGGAGGCCTCGCAGCGCAGCGTCGCCCCCGGCCTGGCGCAGCTGCTGCCGCGGCCTCGGCCGGGGCGCCGAGACGGCGAGACGGCGCGGCGGCGCGCGGCCTCCCTGGCGAGGAGCGGCGATCGACGAGGATCGGCCCAGCGGTCCGACGAGGCAAACTCTCCTACCTCGAGGGCGGCCAAGAGGGGGGCTGTGCTGGCGAGGAGCAGTTGGGAAGCCGCAAGCGGGCGAGCCGCCAAAAACGCGAAAACGGGAAAACCCGTAAAGTCGTAAACCCGACGGTTTTCGCGTAAAGTAGCGCTTTTCCCGAAATGGCCGATGTGCGCGAAAACGGGAAAACCCGTAAAGTCGTAAACCGGACGGTTTTCGCGTAAAGTAGCGGTTTCCCCGGATTGGCCGATTTGCGCGGAAACGGCCCCAGCGTTAAACGCGTAACGAGCCACGCGTTGGTTTACGACTTTCCGAATTTACGCGATTACCGAGCGGGCGGTGGCCAGGGCCGCGGAGGAAAGGAGGAGGTGCCACCTCCTCCTCCTCCCCCACCGTGGGGGAGGAGGAGGAGAAGGAGGAGGGGGAGGAGGAGGAGGAGGAGGAGGAGGAGGAGGAGGAGGAGGACAAGGAGGAGCAAGAGAAGGAAGAGACGAGGAGGACTGGGGGGGGCAGGAGGAAAAGAGGAGAAGAGGGGAGGAGACAAGGAGGAGGGGATAGGAGGCGGAGGAGGAGAGGACGAGGGTACAAGGGTGAGAAGAAGGGGGGAGGAGGAGGAGGAGGAAGAGGAGGAGGAGGAGGAGGAGGAGGAGGTGGCGGAGGAGGAGGAGGTTGAGGAGGAGGAGGAGGAACAGCAGGGCCCAGGCCTTCGACGACATGTAATTCGCCAGCCCAACGGACTAGAGGCGTGCTAAGATCTCCAGCAACTGGTTAGCAGTATTTCTAGTTCGCGCGCGCGGGGCGGCCCCTTGGGGTCCCCGAACGAAGAATATCCCGGCAAGGTCCTGGGCGGTCCGACTCAGAGATGGTTTTCCGCCTGGGCGCGGCCTCTCAGGCCCCCAGAGCGCGCCAAGAGGGCCCCAAGAGGCCCCCAAGGCTGCCCGAGAGGCCCAACGAGCGCTCCAAGACGCCGAAGATGACCCCAAGACGGTCCAAGAGGCCCCCAAGTGGCCTCCAAGAGGCCTCACAAGAGGGCCCCGAGATGCCAAAACCATAGTTTGTATGATGGTTTGGGCAAGATTTTCGCCTTGTAGACGGTCCAAGAGGCCCCCAAGAGCGCCCCAAGACGGGCCAAGAGGCTTCCAAGAGGGCCCCAAGAGGACACAAGAGGGCCCCGAGACGGCCCAAGAGGCGCCCAAGACGGCACAAGAGAGGCCCAAGATGGCCCCAAGAGGGGGCCGAGAGGGGGACCACGAACCAACAACTCGAGCCTTCCGCCCCAAGAGGGCACCAGGAGGCCCCGAGAGGCCCCCAGGAGGCCCCAAGATGCCGCCAAGAGGCTCCCAAAAGGCCCCAGGAGGCCCCCAGGAGGCCCAAAAGAGGCCCCAGAAGGCTTCAAAAATGCCTCCCAAGCGCTCCCGAACGGTTTCTCAAAAGACCCCAAGAGGCCTCCCAAAGAAGCATCTTTACGACGACCCTGTTTGGCCCCAAGAGCAACACGAGATGACAACGAGAGGCTTCCTCCTCCGCCCCTTCCTCTTCGTCCTCCTCCTCCTCCTCCTCCTCCTCCTACTTATCATCATCCGAATCCCTCTCCTTCTCATCCTCTCCTCCTCCTCCCTTCCCCTTCCCTATCCTCATGTTCCTTCTCCTCGGCGGCGCCACAATGGCCCCGAGCTGCTCGCCCACGGCGAAGCAGTAGCGATCATGCAATATGGGCCGGCGGAATGAGCGAAGAGGTTGAAATGTATCATAGCGCTTCGCTACAAGCTCTGACTTGAGATGCAACATGAGCCACAGGATAGCACCACAAATGGGGCGGTCCGGCAGCCGTTTCGCCGAAAGCTTCCTCACAATCTTGAGGAATCGCGCTTTCGCCTCAATACCGGCTACATTCCTGGTCCAAACAGCCACGACCCGTCGGAAAATATACACTGAGGCCCACATGGCCGCGCTCTATGCTTCCGCTGCTGCGATCTTTAAGGGCCGTTCATGGCTTCTTGGGGTTTTTCTCCTTCGGTCCTCGATCTCACCCCGTTTCGTGTCCCCCCGCTGCCGAGCGCCCGAGAGGGTTGGGGGGTAGCGGAAGGATCGAAGACAGCTGGCTCTCCTTTGGGGTCCCCGCTGGGGCCGCCGGGGCGGCCGCAGCGGAGGCCTCACGGGGACTTCCAGGGAACTCCACGCTCCATGTGAGGGGGGGGATCTGCCGAGCTCACTGCCAGGGGCGCACCTCGCTGGCAGCAGCGGCGTGCCTCACCGAGTTCACTGCCAGCGGCTAGCACGTCGTCTGCTCAGCTCACTGCCGGCGGCGTGCTCTCTGCCGACGCTGCCAAGACGGCCCCAAGACGGTTTCAAGTGGCCGCCGAGCCCTCCAGCGACCCCCCCCAGAAGCCAAAATGGCTCCAAAACCAAATAAACATTACTGTGTTTGGGCCTTCTCCCTTTTTCGCTTCCGATGGAGGTTGGAAGCGTCAAGATGGCCCCAAGATGGCCCAAGAGAGCCCCAAGAGGGGCCCAAGAGGGCCCCGAGAGGGCCCCAAGACAGCCCAAGAGCACCCCAAGACCGCCCCAAGAGGGCCCCCAAACGCATTTGTTTGAGCCTCGGGGGGGGGGGAGCTGAATTTAGGACTCCCCTCTTTTGAGCCATGAGGCCCAAAACAGCTCCAAGAGACCTCTCTGACCCCCCCTAAGAGCCCCAAGAGGGCTCCAATATTGCCCCAAGCGGGCCCCAAGAGGGCACCAAGAGGACCCCAAGAGGACCCCAAGAGGACCCCAAGAAAGCTTTAAAATGGCTACAAGAGACCTCCGAGAACCTCTCACAACAACACCTCAACTCGCCTGGGGCAATGGAGGAGCCGGGAGAGGACGAGGAGGACGAGGATGATGGCGATGAGGATGATGTAGGCCACGGCGTTGATGATGGGTGATGGTGTTGATGACGGTGATGGTGACGACGATGACGAGGCGGATGATGATGATGGTAGTGACAGTGATGGTAAAGCCGCGCGCGAAGATGGCGATGAGCATATAGCGTATGGTTGTGATGATAGGTGATTGTGATGGTGACGATGAGCATATATCGTGTTGTTGTGATGATGGGTGATGGTGATGGTGATGGTGACGACGATAACGAAGGTGATGAGGAAGATGGTAGTGATGATGGTGGTGACGTGTCTGCTGTTGGCGACGATGGTGTTGGTGGTGGTGATGAAGATGATAGTGGTGATGATGGTGATGACACGTGCATGGAAGTGGCAACGATGATGATGATGATGATGATGATGATGATGATGATGATGATGATGGTGGTGATGATGATGATGATGATGATGATGATGATGATGATGATGATGGAATGGAAGAGCCGGGGGATGACGAGGAGGACAAGTATGAGTGCGATGAGCATATTGCGTATGGTTGTGATGATTGGTGATGGTGATGGTGATGGTGACGACGATAACGAAGGTGATGAGGAAGATGGGAGTGATGATGGTGGTGACACGTACGCTGGTGGCGACGATGGTGTTGGTGGTGGCGATGAAGATGGTAGTGGTGATGATGGTGGTGACACGTGCATGGAAGTGGCAACGATGATGATGATGATGATGATGATGATGATGATGATGATGATGATGATGATGATGATGATGATGATGGAATGGAAAGGAGAAGCCGGGTGAGACGAGGAGGACAAGGATGAGTGCGATGAGCATATTGCGTATGGTTGTGATTATGGGTGATGGTGATGGTGATGGGGACGACGATGACGAGGGTGACGTTGAATATAGTAGTGACGATGAAGGTGGTGACGTGTATGCCGGTGGCGACGATGGTGATGGTGATGATGGTGAAGATAGTAGTGATGATTGTGGTGGCGACGGTCTTGAAGATTCGTGGGAATCAGCATGCGATGGAGCAGAAACGGGAGACGGAGGAGGAGGAGGAGGAGGAGGAGGAGGAGGAGGAGGAGGAGGAGGACGACGAGGGAGGAGTTGGAGGAACATCTTTCCCCCACGCGCGCGCCCGTTGGAACTGCTGAAATCGAACAGGGCTGGGCGGGGGAGGGGCGGGAAAACCCGTAAATCCGTAAACCTTTAAACTTGGGGCCGAAATGTGCACCCGGAACTGACTTTTCGCAAGGTTTGGGGGAAGGGGGGGGGCGGCAGGGTAACCCGTAAATCCGTAAACCCGTAAACCTGGCGCCGAAATGTGCAATCCGAGCGAACTTTTCGCGTAAACGGGAAAACCCGAAAAGTCGAAAAGTCGTAAACTTTACGACTTTTCGACTTTTCGCGTAAATTGTGCGAGCCCGCGCCCGCTTACAGCAACTACTCGCCAGCTTAGGAGGGGGGGTGATGACTGGGAGGGGGGGGTATCATATCATGGCGGGGGCCAGGATGTCCCCCCAGATTTCATGGCGCCTCTTCCTATTGCGAAGGCCTTACGGCCGGTGCCGCCGACCCTGTTCGCAATGCGCAGCAAGAGGCACGGGCTGTGGGATGGTTTTGGGGAACGGGGAGAAGGACGAGAAGGTGGGGGAGGGACGTGTCGTATCTGACCCGGGACTTCCCCGGGACTCCCCTGGGACCCCCCCCGGGACCCCCCCTCCCCCCCCCGTCGGGGAAGGGAAAGGGAAGGGGCTTCCCTTCGACTCAATTACGACGTTGCTCAAGGTCGGTACGGGGGGGGGCCGTCGTATCTGACCCGGGACTCCCCCGGGACCCCCCCCGGGATCCCCCCTCCCCCCCCCGTCGGGGAAGGGAAAGGGAAGGGGCTTCCCTTCGAATCAATTACGACGTTGCTGAAGGTCGGTTTGGCTAGCGCGCTTGAGGAGGAGGCCCTGGGAAAGGGCGAGGGGAGCGGGGAGGAGCCCAGGGGAAGAGGGGTACCAGGGAAAGGG